TCTCTATCCCTTCTCTAATCTATCTACCTATTTTCTGCCCAGGCAGGTGTGGCCTAATCTGTCAAAGGCCTTGGCTAATCCTGTATCACCCTGTTTCCCCTTTCAGAGCCCCAGCCCTTAATCTCTCTGTTTCCTTCCCCACGACTGCCTCTTTTGTCATCCCAGGCCGTGACTTTACCTTCCTCCCGTGGCTGGCTGCCAGGGAAGGCAAGCCAGGGCTGAGCCATTTTGCCGCTGGGCTCTCCACCAGCCCATGTCGCCCTTGTCACGAATACCTGCAGCCGTCACGTGTTTTTTTCAGTGCAGCTGGACTGCAGCCGCACAGAAAAGATGCGGCAGCTGGAGGCTTTTTGCAGCAAAAATTACTGACCTCTAGCTTTGCTTGCTCCACTTCTCCAATGTGTCGCTGTGGCTGCATTCTAGGCACTGACCCTACAGGTCCACCCCATTGAACCCGCAAGTCCGAGCGGAGTGGTGCAGCAGTCAATAGGATAAGCCTGCATGGCCGGCAACTAGAATGCGGTGCTGGTGGTACATTGGAGAAGGAGAGCAAAGTCAGAGCATGGTAATTTTAGCTGCAAAAAGCCTCCAGACACTGTGTGTCATTTTTGGTGTGGCTGGACTCCAGCCGCACCGAAAAAAAGATGTGGCATCTGGAGGCTTTTTGCAGCAAAAATTACCGACCTCTGGCTTTGTTTACTCCGCTTCTCCAACGCACTGCTGTGGCCATCAGCGATTGTCGTGCATACGCGTGATGTCGCACATGTGCAATAAGGACTGACTGGGCAGGGAACGGAGCAGCGGGAGGAGTGGGGCCAGTCAGGGACCATTTTACCAATTCTCCAAACTACTGGGAACGGTAACGAACAAGTAGAATCCCACCCCTGAATTGTGCCCTGCAAGGGGCCCACCTCCAGCACTCCTCTGCCGTCCCCCTTGCCTCTTAGCGCCCCCCGCCACCCTCCTTGCCTCTTATCACCCCCCTAAGTCATCCCACTGCCCCCCCCAGGGGGCGATACCTCCCACTTTGGGAACCACTGCTCTAGGTTGACCAGAGATTGCTGCTTGTCTGCTCCTAATTTTTACCATTCAAAGACATTTTCATTTTGTCTTTTAAAATACAAGAACCAAAATTGTTAATTGTTCAGTTCTCTTTTCTGCTTTCCTTATTTGCCTTTCATTTTTCATTAACTTCAACATACTGTTCATAATTAAAGGCTTGAATTTCTTTACTGACTCACTAACTCACTCACTCTGATAAGATTTAACCATTAGAATAAGGTATTTTAAAAAGACAGAACTGACATTTTATTCTTTGTGAATTAAAAAATGCAGAGGAAGACTTCCTCTGCTATAACTTGGGTAGAATCATCATATACAACAGTCTCTCTTCAGGAGTGCTACAATCTTGAATGAATCCTGAGGCAGACTGTATATATCAGCAGCCCTAATAGTCAATCTGCAATCCAACACTTGCAACTGCTCCAGGATACACTGATCCTAAGCAGATGCAATCTTGTTTGGATAAAGACAGGCCAGATCCTGTCAGGGAAAGCAGTCCAAGAACATGTTGGTAACTGCAAAAGTGGCCTGAATATCAGTTTGAGAGGAAAGGGCAGCAACAGAGTCACCGAGATTGAGTCAGAGACCAAATAAATCTTCTAAATAAATAATTAAACACCTCAAATCAAGCCCAGCCAGCACTGGGGCTTCTTAAAAACAGGGCCTTGCTTCTCCACTTAAAACAGATCTTTCATTCTGGATGTGTGCTTTTGTTGTTCTTGCTCCTAGCCCTAAGTCTGGATCAACTCATGGAATTCTCATAAGATAGTTGTCATAACACAATTTTCTTGGCTCTGAATCTGCTCCCTTTCTCCTGCAATTGCTCCCCAATTAATATGATTATTCATCTGATTTCCAGCTATAATCAGAAAATTTATCACACACCAATAAGATGGTATCTCCTGACTACTGTTTTGCATCAGCTGCACAGATGAAGAATGTGGGAGAGTGCACTAGGATGATTGTGGGAGAAGATTATAAGGGCTTCCTTGTGAGTATAATGATGAATTTGTTCACCATATCCCTTTCTGTTCCTGTGCAAGTATACAGCCTACGAAAATGCCATACTTCTCCAACAGCATTGTCATCAGGGGGAAAATAAAATCAAGAAGTTCTACTTCAAATGGGGAATGGAAATATTAAATGCTTAAGAGTATCATCATCTTTTCATTTAATGTAATTACACTGTTGCAACTATGATTAATGATTTCTTTAGAATCTCATGTCTCTGTGAACTTCTTTTATGGCTCCAAAAATTCTTTCTACCTGTTTAAACTGCTTCTTGATGCTGACTTTGCTTTTACATGTCACCCACAATTCATTGCCAACTGTTAAAGATCAGAACACAAATCAATCTTACCAAAACTGTTTCAAGACAAGACAGCAATTGAAAATATCAAATGAAAGCAAGTTGAAAGGTAACAAAAGTACATTTTTTTCTATTTTGTTATATATATGTTAGTATTGTTATAGTTGATTAACAGTTATACGGTAGTAGAAGCGAAAGATTTGCCAGTCACTTTATCTGTAATTACTAGCACCCTCTCTGACCACCACCACTGAAAATCAGTTACTTATATGCCATTTTAAAGTAGAAAATACATGAGAATTGAGTATATATTTTAAAATAGGCTTAACACAGTTCCATAAATAAAAATATTTACTTATTTAAAACATTTATATAACTGTCCATCTTATATCAAACTCTGGGCAGCTCCCGATCATTTATCTTCATATAGGAACAAATCAGAAAATTTATTCCTGCTATATGCTTGATACAACTCAGTCTATTCTGCATCATTGTTCCAGCCACTGTAGCCCACTGAATTCCCAAGAAAAGTTACAGTATATAGAAATATCAGCCATCAAAAGATAGCCCATTCCTACAGGAGTCAGCAAAACCCAGCACTCACTATAATGAACCACATATATTTTAGACATAAAATGTGTTTTTCTAATAGCCAATTTTTGTTTATTGGCTGTTTAAGGTTGTTTGATCAAATACATTATATCTCGCCTGTGCTACACATCCACTAGATATAAGAGCAACCATAAATCATACATAGCCCCAGGACTTTCAAGTTATGAGATATCTTGGCTGGCACAATTATAAAAGATTTCCATCCTGAAAAATAATCTCATATGTTTGAAGCCATCAATTAATTCCCTATAACATAATTGGAACAAAAAAGCAAAAATGAAATCAAAGCAAGGAAACTAAGTGCCAGTGAATTCCACATGGCAGTTTTCTACTCAAGAAGGTGTGGTGCTTATAGCCTGGAGATACTGCTGTTTTTGAGAAATTTTCCTTTATAAGAGTTTAGCACTCTTGTCATAATTTTTCTTACATTGTCTTCATACAAACAATACTGGTCATGTCACATTATATTTTCCTCTATTAGCTGAAATATTAAATGTCCTGATCACAATCAGATAATGGAAACAGAGAGAATGAAACTCATTTTTCAGTTTAATTTATTCAGTTTAATTTATACGGAATCAGTCCTTACTTCATTTAGCTGAGAACTATAGATTATTTAGAATTTTTAGCAGGGACTCTGTAAGCCTACCTGAAGGGCCGGGCTAGAGCATGTGTCATTCTATTACTGTAGCACGGTCAGATAAATCCATCATTTTTTATCTAACTCATCCTGTTTTTCCCAATCATTATTTCATTCTGATCTTCTTTCTCTCTTTGTTTGCAAACTATACATATCATCATGTGTGATTTCCAAATATATCAATTTTTGTATTTGTGCATTTTATTTTTATAGTTTAAGTTTCTTAATATAATGCATTTTTCCTTAAGACATATATTTAATGTTCATTTTTTGAGTTAGCAACTTCAGTGACAAATTTTTAAAATGTATGGATTTAGAAACCAACTCTGTTTTCCTTTAAAAAAAAGTGAATTAGATATGTTCCTTTACAGATCAGTACCCACAATTTTTTATGTAGTAAACAACAATGTCAAGCATGTCAAAAACAAACAACAAAAATGTTATAGCTTAGTGTCATGTGCATTTTTAGATCTCTAGATAGCAGACAATATGCCTGCAATCTGTTCATAATTGCCACCACTAGATTCTAGCCTGCTCCCTAGGTCTTGCATCACACATCACTCATACTTTTCTCCCCAATCTATATAAACCCACTTTCCTACCTTATCCTCAATTTAAATTAACTAGAAATCAACCTATCAGGGCTCCACAATGCATACCTTTTTCCCATAGCTAAGAAGTCATGAATTGATGCCATAACTAGATTTTTTTCAAAAATATGAAGGCATGGTTCCACTTACCTGAAAATTAGTACTATAGAAGTTAAAAATTATTGTAAATCTGAACCTTTTGCTGAAATGCCACATTTTACTTGTTTTTTATTACTGTGGATTACTTGTTGATTACCCAGTGCATTTCAAAGTCATTGTCTTTTATTTGCTGTTCCTAATTTTCCACCATCATTATTTAATTAATAAATTATATACTGACATATACTTTATAAAGAGGCAGAACATTTAATACTGTGTGACATAATCTAACATGTTTGCTGCAATGAGCCATGGAGTTGAAATCCAGTTATAAACAAATTTAATTTTTTTACATTTAAAAATGAAAAGATTGAAATTATTTTAGTAACTGATAATGTATTATATGAGCTGTATGTTCTCCAGGTGTTTCAAAGCATAGCTTTAGTTACATTACAGCTACAGACTTATTTTTAAAAGCATTTTTACCCATGTTTGAGCAAATATGTTTCAGGCTATACATTTCCTCCATTTATAGCAAACTTTCCCAATCTTGAGCTAATTTAATGGGTTAATTTGCAATTTGCATACTTGAAGTGAGAACTACAATCCAAAACATAGATTCTGATTATAGCAGGTGAAGTCCCACAGTGGAAATGGCTGTACTATAATTTAATTTATTATCACTTACTTGGATCAGAAAGTTGAAGCAGAAAAACTGCTTGCATACTGTGGAGAAAGAGAAAAAAGCTCAGTGTTAATTATATATTTAGAAATATATAAAACAAACTTGCAACAACTACCTTACAACATTTTAATATTCTTCAGTGTAGGAGAGCTATCTGCACCTTTGCCTTTAAATCTGAATATTGCTAAAGGACACAAATAATAGTTTTGGTTAATTTTGTTTTTAAAACAAAATTAAACATCTTGCTCTGCATCAGCCCGTTTGCATTCTCATTCAACTTTTGACTGAGATTTGCTATTAGATCCCATCAACATACAATTCATATAGAAGTAGTACATATATAGTAGAAATCTCTTATCTTAATAAATTGAGGAGATGAAGATCCTCACATTAAATAAATAAGCATTTAAAAGCATAATAGAATGCTTAGAAGATGGATGTAATAATCAAATATTTAATTTCAATCCATGATACTGTGCAGTGTCTTGTCCTAGATAGCCATTGAAAGAGAAAATAATAATCCTGGACAATAGAAAGAATATTTGCTTCTGTATCCAATATGGCAATAAAAAGAAGGTATGCATAGTTCTGTTTCTTCTTTTAAATCAATCACTTATATTATAATGTATTCTAAAAGGTTGTTTGGTTCACACATTGCAATAGGTCAGAATATGCTGAATAAGGAGTAACTGTCTCTATTCACACATTGTGCCAAATTATACCAAATAAATCACAGCCTACAAGGCTCAATGACCATGTTCACATAACACACCAAAAGAAAAACAATTTATGATTTGTTACAATATAAGTATCACGGCAGAATTTTAATCATAAGTCCACAATATTTTAAGTTATTGTTATTTGCCAAGTATATGGTTAACAGTCTAGATAAGCAATGAAACATTTCAAACCAAAAAAGAAGTCTAGTTGTCATGATTCAACTTCCAGACAACTCTACATGGATGACTGAGAACCTTTATCAACTTTTGCATAGTATTTGTATTTTTCTAATTTGAACCATGACTTAGGTAAAAACACATAATATGCTTTATTATTATCCTAAATAGTTGTACAAGAAAGACTAAAGTAAAAAAGGATTTAAAAAGAAAAGCTAATTGAATGAATATAATGCAATAGCATTCTAAAATCAATTTATGCATATAACAATGTTCTATCAAGAAGTGGTAATATCATAACTCTATCAGGAGTTTAACATAGCATCATCTGAACACAAGTTCTGGTTCATATCCTGAAGTCAAGATAAATTTAAAAAAGAGAAGGTTACAGGTTGCTAAAAAGTATATAGATATAAATAAATATTAGTTCAATAATACTCTGAATGATATTTCTTTTTAAATTTCCTACAAAAAATACTCCAAATAACCCCAAATTCATGGTGTATGTATTGATTTCAATAGAAAAAATAAAATGCTAAGGATAAAGAATTGCATTAAAATTTAGTCATATCTATCCAATATTGAAATCAATGAATCTTAAACTGTGCTCTTCACTGATTGCCTTTATGTGCTGTAGGATTATTAGTTAAATTCTATAAAACTGAAAGGAAAAAGGTAATTGGATGAAAAAAAAGAACCATAGAGGCAGGGCAGATTTTCTGATTTATTTTTCAGCAAATGTTTTACTTGTTTGTTGTCAGAAGCCTGTTGTCAAAAGTTTGTTGTTCATGTTTCATGAATTTTAAATATATAAATTAATTCATTACTTTTAACCAAAATAGTAATTATTTTTAGCCCATTTTACAAATCATGAATCATGAAATCTATGGACACTTTTGTCAATAATAGAGAATTTACAAATGATATACCACATAATATTAGCACAAAACATTGTACTTCAACATTTATTATAATCTCCCTTCAGCAACTACCCAAAACTTTGATAATCTTCACCTTTTTCTTTTTCAACAAAGACTGAACTAGCTGTTATCACTTCCTCTAGCCTGAAAGAAATCACTGATATTAAAAATTAGGTCTAATTTTTGCTTCTCTAAAATAAAGAGAAGTAAACCGTTTTTGTCTTAAGACTGCATTGTAATGTGATACATCATTCAATTTAAAAGATGCTCCAGATGAGGAACATAACATTAGGGTATATGACATTAGGGAACATTTACATCTAATCAGTTGCCAGATAAGTTAAATGGGAAATATCTCAGATATTTCAGCAAAGTTGCCCAGGCTCTTTTGAAGATCACGAAAAGTTCAAGTCTGCATCAACTTTTTAGAAAAACGTAATGACATATACAGGCAACACAAAGTACGGACATAACAATCAGTGGTGGGATTCAAATTGTTTTACTACTGGTTCTGTGGGTGTGGCTTGGTGGGTGTGGCATGGCTTGTGGGCATGGCTTGGTGGGCATAGCAGGGGAAGGACACTGTAAAATCCCCATTTCCTCCCCACCCTACTAACCTGCTTTCCAGCTCCATTCTCCTGTGCAGGGCAACCAACATGACCCAGCCTACCATCTGGGACTCAGGAGGCAGAGAACAGATGGGGGTGGGGCTAGTCAGAGGTGGTATTTGCAGGTTCTCCGAACTACTCAAAATTTCCACTACCAGTTCTCCAGAACTGGTCAGAATCTGCTGAATACCACCTCTGATAATAATCAATACATCAGTATAGATTTGGTGAGTGCACTTCTAACATTAGTCTTAATTGTTACAAGAATTGTTTTATTTGGAAGAGTTTTAAATAGTTTAAAAAAAATCAATAATCATAGTCATCTTTTCTGTCCTTGTGTCCTCCTTTCTTAGATAATTTAAATGCCATATTGAGAAGCTGCTTACTGCTGCTAACAGCCTCTAGCACTTGCTACACTTGTTCTACTCCTAGCTGAATCAGCAATTCCACGCAGTTCTGTTTCCTTCTCTACACTGTCTGAACATGTAAGGTAGACTGAGAATGGTAAAGCAGCAGAATGGATCATTATGAGCAATATTAGGAATTGTTGCAAAGACTGAGAAGAGTGAGAGGAAAGCACTGTGCTCCAGCATTGTTGCTGAAGGATGTGGAACAGGCATGTTGTAATAGCACTTCCTGCCCAATGTCCATGGTCCAGTAACTGCCATCTGTCCATAGTCCAGTAACAGGCATGTTGTAATAGCACTTCCTGCCCAATGTCCATGGTCCAGTAGCTGCCATCACTGCTATTCCCAGACTCTTCTTTCTCACTGGAAGGAGAACTACAAAGAAGACTGACAAATATGAAGCTTGTTGTTGTGGCTCCTTGCGATTATCCAATATAACATGGTTTCAGCTGTTATTAAGCCCAGCAACAGCAGATTAGACATTTTATGCCTTCTATTTCATTTGCTGTTTGCTATAATTAGAAAGGCAGAGAAAGGCAGAAGAAGTATTTTCACATTATTTGTGAAAATGATCCCACATATAAAAGTCCATCTGACATTATATATTTAAATTTTCAAACAATTTCTGATAAGAGTACCTTGGGTAAACTAGGTTTACCAATAGTAGAAAAAAGTAACAAAGTTGATATTGATAGAAATGTGGAGGGCAGAATTATTTTTTTAAAAAACTCTAGGAGAAGAAGAAAATATTCAGAAATGGTTCAGGCAGACATTTCCCTGTGATTCATTGGATATAAGAATGTGAGTGGGGTGGGGTGGGGTGTACAGCACAGACAAATTATAAGGTTCTGTTATTTTAGCCCATTTCAATAAAAGCACTTTTCTCCTTCCTGCAAAGTCAACTTCCTGATTTGGTGGAACTGATATAAATCTCATTCTCTCTTTCAATAAAGATTGGCCATCTAGCCTTTGTTAGTGGAGATGGTTTCCAGTATTCAGGGCACCCTACTGTCTACTAAGCATCTTCCTGCAACATTGTTGTAACATTAACATCAGGCAGATTTCTAAATGATGCATTTGCCAAATGGCATGATGCAACTAACACTATAGTTAGGAAAGAATTTACATCACCAAGCATCAGCACAACAGCCTGCAGAATAACTTAAATTTCTGTGTTCTCAGAAGACTTTATCTGAGTAATGGGGGGGGGGGGATGAAGACCAGTTCCTAACCTTCATGACTCAGCACAATCTCTTTATAATGAATTAGCTAGTGGATTGCACAAAGATTGTACAAAGGTGACTTTTGAGCTAAGTACTGGAGGAAAAGAAAGGTCAGAAAGGGATGAAGAAACTCAGTCTAGGCAGTAGCAGGGATGAGTGCGGGTTGGAGATAACTACTTGTACAGTTGCATTATAAGACTTATTTAATGATCTCGAGGGCTTGTGCAGTGGTAGGATTCAAATAATTTAACAACCGATTATCTGCCCTAATGACCAGCTGGGTAGACGTGGCTGGGTGGGCATGTGACTGGGTGGGCATGGCTGGGATAGGCGTGACATAGGACTAGTGTGGTACTAAGGCAGGACTTCCCTGAGACCTTCCCTCACACTCATTATGCGGCTTATACAGATTCTGCCGTTGGTGTTCAGGGATGCTTAGCCACACAATACTCATCATTTTTCAGTCATTTAGTGGGCATATTGCCCATGTGACTCTCAGGCTTAGTTGACGAGGGTAACTCCTTTAGTTCTCTTAATAATCCTGGTGTAAGTTATAAAGCCTCTCAACAAACTATCCAATAAAAAAGTATTACTATTGGATCTATAAATTTCATAGTTCCTCAAGATCTAGATGTCTATGTACACTGTAATTACTAGTCAAAATGAAGTGGGTTGGCTTGAAGGACGGCTTAATTTATTGCAGGTGTGGGACACAGAGAGACTATCTTGTTCCCAGCAATGATTAAAGTAAATTGAAATCCTTTAGTCCGTGTGCAGTGGTGATGGTTTTTGGTAATTATAGATTCTGTGTCTATCATTTATCTAGAGTAAACAGATTGTGAAGACTAGTTGAACTACAATGTAGTAACTAATTTCCAAGTAAACAATGGGTGTGTTAGGAACCATGATAATTTAGATACATGCTCCCTGTAGCAGAATCCTGCTTTTAGTATTGGGAAAGAAGCGTGGAACTTGCTGCTTACCATA